CAGTCCAGGATGGTCTTGAACTCCCCGCGCAGAGACGGGATGGGCACACAGGAGCGACAGCCTCAGTCCAGGATGGTCTTAAACTCCCCGTGCAGGGACGGGAGAGCAGCGTCCTCCAACAGGGCCATGGTTGTCTTTGGGATCTTGCGGCCCAGCTTTATCTTGGCTGCAAAGAAAAGGGTGAGTGAGACACTGGTGACACCTCAGAGCTCAATGAGCTGTAACCAGCTGGGCGTTCTGGGGGCCCAGGGCTCTAGGGCCTGGGCACTCCAGGAAATGAGCACTCCAGGCACTGGGGACTGGGTGTTTCAGGGGCTGGAAGCTCTGGGGCTGGGGGAGCTGGGAGGGCTGGGGACTCTGGGGCTGGGGGAGCTGGGGGCTCTGGGGACTGTTCACTCCAGGGGCTGGGCGTTCCAGCAGCCGGGCACTCCAGACTGTGTACTCCAGGGACTGGACACTGCAGGACCTAGGGATCAATGAGGGGACATGCAGCCCTACCAGTGCAGTGGGTGGTTTGTCTGAGAAGGGGAGATGGAGGGAAAAGTGGGCTGCAGGCCTGGGGGCTTGAGGCGAGTGGGAAGGGGCTGGTCACGTGTCAGGAGGAGCCAGAGGGCCCGTGTGGGAGGCGGATGTGGAGCGACACTTTTGGGGCAACTCAGGTGATGGAGAGGAGCCCGTGACCAGAACGACCTGCAAGTTTGGGTCACAGGTGTCCCCACTTCCCCAGCAGCAGTGTGCACCCTCCCATGGATGAGGACAAGGCCACCACGCGGATCCCTTGCTCACCCGTCTTGAGGGGCCCCAGCAGACACTTGTAGGTGACTCTGTGACGGGTCAGCTTGACCAGGAAGGCGTGGTGGCACAGCCAGCATGCAGCCTCAGAAGGAAAGGGGCCCAGGGCACCAGGGGCCCCCAGCGACATCCCTGTGAGCACAGACAGGGGTTCAAGACACTCCCCAGGCCCGTGTATTACTCAGGCTCACCTACTACTCCCTGAGAGCCAGGATAGGCTAGGGGTGGACCAGGGACAGGTGAGGGGTACACCAGCACCCCACATTCCATCTGCAGAGGTGGGGGCAGGCTTGTGTGACAGAGGGGATTCTGTGTGTAGCGGGGGGGCCAGTTACAGGGTAGGATGGGAACCCCACAAAGGAGTCCCAGGGGCTGGAGAGCAGGGGTCCTGGAAGTAGAGGGAGTGGGTCTGAGGAAGGACTCATCCATTCTCTACTCCCAGGATGGAGGATACAGGGAGACAGGGCCAGTCCACCAGCATGAGCCCTCCTTACACATGGAGATGACAGGGAGGTGGGGACACACACATCAGACACAGGCTGTGAGCGTGAAGGGGCCGCCCTGACCACCCGCTCTGTAACACAGAGGTGACAGGGAGGTGGGGACACGCGCATCAGACACAGGCTGTGACGGTTAAGGGGCCGCTCTGCCCACCCGTCCTGTAAGTATGGACGGATGTGGAGGTGACAGGGAGGTGGGGACACGCGCATCAGACACAGGCTGTGAGGGTTAAGGGGTCGCCCTGACCATGTGCCCCGTAACAATGTGGGGGGACACGGAGGTGACAGGGAGGTGGGGACACACACATCGGACACGAAGGGGCCACACTGCCCTCCCGCCCTCTAACAGTGTGGAGGGAGAGGCAGAGGGACATGGGTGGAGGGCCCCTCCCCAGTGTCCTCCCTCCTGGTCTAGCCCAGAGCACATCTGCTCCTTCCACCCAGCTGACGGTCAGCCACTGGGGGACATCAGTCCTGCAGCCAGTCCCAGGCGCGTGGATACCTCTACACCTCGAACCCAGCTCACAGGGTCCTGCTCTTCCTAACATGAGGGCTACTCTGACAGTAGTGCCCAGCCCCTAGGGTCCTTCTCTTCCTAACACCGAGGGGCGGCCCTGGTCTCTGACAGTGATGCCCAGCCCCCCAAGGTCCTGCTCTTTCTGACACCAAGGGGCAGCCCTGGTCACAGACAGTGGTGACCATCTCACTGACACAGTGTGGTGAAGCGCAGGTCTCAGACGCCATGGTGTCACCACTGTCCACGCGGCCCACGCCCCCACACACCTGCGTTCTTGGCTTTCAGGACGGAGTAGCAGTGGGACGCTGTGTCCCTAATGACTCTGAGGAAAAACGTGGGATTCTTCCCGACCCGCTGGCTGAAGGGCAGCTGGAGCACGCAGGCGTGGAACCTGCGGGGAGAGGGGGCGAGCGCGTCAGGAGCATCAGCGAGCGACGGTGTGTGCGTGCTTCTCACGTGTGCCTGTGTACATGCTCCTACACGCCCGCCAGCAAGCACACGCACTGACGGTGGACAAGTGCACTTCTCCCATGCATGTCATCTACATGTGTGTGCATGTACATACACACTTTCTCATGTGCCTGTGTACAGCAGGTGTGTCTGCATGCCCGCCTATGTGTGTATGTCTTTAGGAGTATTGTTTGTTGTGTTTGGTTCATCATAAACCACTGATAAGAGAATCTTGTCCTATTCTATGCTATCACTCCCAACACACTTGAGCAAACTGCTACAATCCATACCTTCGATGGTCTTCCTCTCTTTCGCTGTCCCTCTACCTTTTAAGAATGATGTCCCTCTCCAGGGAATAGTCCCTCCAACAACATGCTCAAAGTACGTGAGGCAAAGCTTCAGCATCCTTGCCTCCAAGAAGCACTCTGGCTGCACTTTCTCCAAGACTTATCTGTTCTTTTGGCAGTGCATGGGATGTTCCACACTCTTCTCCAACACCACAGCTCAATGGCATTCATTCTTCTTCTGTCATCTTTATTCACCGTCCTGTTCTTGAATGGAAAGCAGATGAATGGAAAAGACTATGAGTCAGGCACACTTGGGTCTTTAAACCGAAATCATTACTCTTCAGAACTTCGCCAAAGTCCTTGACAGCAGACTTTCCCAGTGCCTTAAGTCTCCAGATCTCCCGATCGCTGTCACCAGTGTACAATCTCCCGATTGTGGATCCCAATAAGATGAAATCGCTGATGGTTTCAATCTTTTCAGCATGATGCTGCTTATCAGTCCTGGGGTGAGGAATTTTTACTTCTTTTTTAAAAAAATCTTGTTTTACATTGGTTTGCATACATTTGTATATATTGTTTTACAATTTCCTTTGTGTTTCACATTGTGTCTGGTGTTGAGATGTCATCCACTTTGATGGCTGAACTCTTTGATCTTTTGCACAAAGCTTTTTGAGTCTTTACTTTCAGCAAGCAAGGCTGTGTCATTTACATAACAAAGGCTGTTGAGACTTCCTCCAATCATGATGCCTTATTCTTCAGAGAGACTAGCTTCTCAAGTGATTTGCTCAGACTACAGAATGAGTAGATATGGAGAAAGGATACAACCCTAACACACACCTTTCTTAATTTGAAACCATGCAGTGTTCCTTTACTCTGTTCGAATAACAGTTTCTTGGTCGAGGTATTGATGTTACATAAGCACAATTAAGTATCCTGGAGTTCCCATTCTTCTCAATGCTAGCCCCAGAAAGGTAAAACCACTCTTTCAGCTACCAGTACTTTCTCACTGGCTCCTGTCTCCACTCCCCAGCTGCCCTGTCTGTAGGACTACAATCACCATGGGGCCAGGTACCCTGGGGCTGGATGCCCTATAAGTGGTAAGTCGAGGTGAGGCAGAACTGAGCCCAGGAGAGGAAGAGCAGGGTCCTACTTGCAGAGCATGGACCACATGTGGCCACTTGGACCTGGAGGACTGCCCACACCCTGAAATCATCATTCCCCAAAGAAGCCCAGCAAGCCACCAAATACTGTGGTTCCACTCGGCTCCCACTGCCGTGTGTGTCTCGTGGGCATGTGACCCAGATAATCCAAACACACTTCCACAGAGGGCACGGGGCAGCTCCTACACAAGCTCGTCAGTGTTTAACTCCCAGTGTTTAACTCTCGGGCAAACAATACCTGATAGGGGGTCAGCTACAGGTCAGGCTGACTCAAGGCTAAACAGTAAGAAGAAAGTGATCACTAGTGCCAGGAGGCACCCACTCCTGAAAATAATCAGCAGTGCAAGGTCTAAAGGTCAGCATTTGCCCAAAGAGAAAGCCCTGTAAACAGGATGGAAGGACTGAAGGATTACTGGAAATGAGAGTAACAGGGAGGAAATGGGAAAAGTGTGGTATAGTACTGAGGTCCAGTGTGTCGTGGTGCTGTGGGTACTGGGTGTTGTGTTGTGGTAATGTGCGTGCTGTGTGTTGTGGTACTGTGGTCCAGTGTGTTGGGGTACTGTGGGTTCTGTGTGTTGTGGTACTGTGTGTCATGGTACTATGTGTTCTGTGTCGTGGTACTGTGAGTACTGTGTATCATG